CCGGGAGCAGCCCCGGGACTCTCAGTTCCCCAAAAACCACGCTCTGGGGGGGTGTGGGCGCTCCGGGAAAGCTCCCGCTCCTTCCCAGCGTCCTGCGTGTGATCCCCGCCGCCCTGAGCCGTGGATTATAAACTAGGTCAGCCACAGATCCCCAAAAGTGATTGGAATCGGGGAATCGCCGCTCCCTGGGGTGAGCCCGGGGACAGATTTGCTCCGTTCGATGTTTCTTCCGCAGAGCTGGGAGGAAGCTGTGGGTGGAACGGGGACCCCTGGAGCCCCCCGGCAGCGGCGTCGGGGACGGGTCCCACGAGGAGCTTTGGGGACCGGAGGCTCGGGAAGGGCTCAGGAGGCCGGGTCCCCCTGTGAGAAGCTCGGGAAGGAGCCCGGGGAGGATGGATGGAGCTGGGAAAGCCGGGAACGCTGAGCTCGGAGGGCAGGAAGCGGGGCAGGGGCAGGAAGGCAGCCCCGGCTCCGGGCTCGGCGGAAAAGCGAAGGAAGAGCGGAGGAAAGGCTCGAGGCCACCGCGGGAGGAAGCCTGGAGCTGTCCCGGTGCACGTTGTCCCCGCGGGGAGGGGACGGGACACCGAAACTCGCCCGTTCCCTCCCTCCGGCTGCCCACGCCTCTCGTGGGGCTGCAGGTCCTGGCGTGCCCCGTGTCAGCCGCACCTCGGGACTCGTGGGAGATCCCAAAAGAGGGGACCAGGACCCTCGGGACACCCCTTTGGTGGCCGTGGAGGTGGCGCTGCCGAACGCGGGGTCCCTGGCCGGGGTCTGAGCGAGGATTCAGAACCTCCGGGGGTGTAGGGTGGGTTTGGGGTTTCTTACTTTGGAGCTCTGTGAGGACTTTGGGGCTCTGCCTGGGATGGGGCCACCACAGGGCCTGACACCCACCTGGGGGCTGGGCGACATTCCTGACACTGCCCCCCGCTTCTCCACAAATTCGGGAAATGTCCCAACACCCTCCAGAGCCTCCATTCTCCCCCTCTCAGTCCTCAGGCACCTCCAGCTCAGATCACCGGGAATATTCATCTCAAACTGCGGTGGGGGCCGTGTCCCCCATGCCGGGGATGTCACCGCGGTGTCCCCCAGCCCGGAGCAAAGGAGCTGGAGCGCCGGGAGCCGCCGTCCCTCCTCCTGTTAAATATTTATAGCACTGCCGGGGAAAATGGCAGCGGAAACGGAGGGGGAACCGCGGGCGGGAGGGTCCATCTGGACCCCGCAGGAGCCGCTGCCCGGGGCCCGGGGTGCTGCAGGCGCTGTCCCCGCTCCCCTGCACCAGGGCCGCGAGTTTGGTGTCCTTTGATGGGAAAGGCTTGGGGGGGATGGCTCGGGGTCCGCCCGGTCCTTGCTCCGGCTCCTGGCTCCTCATGGCTTGTTTAAATGAGGAAATGAGGACGTGTGTGTAATTGTTAATGAGGATGCTCGGGGTTTGTAATTACGGCTGGAAGGGGCATCGTGTGCTGTGGGCTGCCCTGGTTTTGGCCAGGTGAGCCTTGGGGTTGTTATGGCCAGCCCGGCTTGGTTCAGCATCTCCAAAATTTGGGGGTCCCAAGGGGATCCCGCGGCTCTGGGGCTGGAGGGCAGCAGGGCCCCGGGGATGCTCAGGGATCTCCCAGCCCGGGAATCCTGACAGGATCTGCACTGGGATATTTTTCCCTCCCTCATGCTTTTCCCACCCTTGATCTCACCCCAGACCTGCTGTGCTGTGAGGTGACAGCGAGCAAACGAATCCTTAATTAACCACTTCAGGGATTTGGCTTTAGAAATGTAAAAAAAATATTTGTTAGGGAGGAATTAAAGCTGCCAATCTCTGGATACACGGTGGCACAGCTCAGGTGGGATCAACATTGGTTTTGGGGGATGATCCTGTTGCTTCCCACCTTTTTGTCCACAGCAGGAACTGCTGGATGCTGGATTTGGCAGTGAAGCAGCCAGAAATGGGCTGGGGATTTTGGGATGGATGAGGAGGAGCTGGGAGGTCTCCAGTGAGGGGGTTGAGTTGCAGGATCACCCAGAAATCCGGGATCAAACAACCCAGGATCACCCAGAATCCCAGGATCAAACAACCCAGGATCACCCAGAAATCCAGGATCCTTCACTGTGCCGAGCTGGGCTGCGACCAGGCAGGAATTGGCTGCTTGGAGGTCCCAGGAACTGGGATAAGGGTGGGAGACGCGGCCTCCCAGGAATGTTGGGGCGGGCTTTTAGGGGAAAACAACCATTTCCCATCAGCTGCATGCGCTGGGAAGCGGGAGGGGATTCCCGGCGAGCAGCAGGAGGGAGAAGTTTTCCCATTTTGGAGGGCTCAGCCCGGGCATTGCTGAGCCCATGGAGGGAATTTCTGCCGGGAATTTTGCTCCAGCGTGGCCTCTGTCCTGGGTTTCTGTTCTCGGGGACACCCCAGGATGTGTCCTGGCAGATGTGAGCCCCGTGTCCCCGCTGCCCTCCTGGCCGGGGGACCCCCGGCTAAGGTGGGATTGGTCACAATTCCTGCGCTTTGATGTCATCACCTGCTCCCGAGGGATCCTCGTTACCTGTTCCTGGCATCTGGCTGCTAATCCCGGGATTAATCCCGCGGCAGATGGAGCCCGGCCAGCCCGGGACCCCCGGCGTGCAGCCCGGGACCCTCGGGGTCACCGAGGCAGCTGAGCCCCAAGCGGAGCCACCTCCGTGGTACTCCCGGGGGAATTCCTACCGGGAACTGCTCTGGGACATCGTCACTGCCTGGGGGCCCTGGGAAAGGGAAGTGAAACGTGTCACTGCTCCCGGTGACAGCTCTGCCCAGCTGCGGGAACAGCGTTTCTGGGAAGCCAAGAATCCCCATGTCCGGCTTCTTCTCGCCCCAGAAATATCCCGAGCGCTCTCGGGGTGGGAAAAAGGGAAGGAGAGGAGGAAATGGCTGCGTGTCTCTATCCTGTGCCCCCCCCAAATTCATCTCCTTCATTCTCGGGGTTCCGGCAAGGCAGAGGGGAATAAGGGAGATGTCCCCAGGGCTGTGTCGAGGGTCTCTGCCCCCCAGTTCCCAGCCAGGCCCCCCGTCCTGTGGCCGAGTGTCCCACGGCTGCGTGCTAACCCCAGGGTCCCCGCTCAATGGGAGGAAGGAAATCCTCATCCTCGGGAAAGGCTGGACACGGCCGTTTCCTCCCGCCGTGCTGGGGAGGGGGCCGGGGCCCCGGCATCATCCCCCGCCCCATCCCGGCTGGAAAACCCGGCCGGACGGACACTGGGTTTGGTCCTGGTGGGGTCGCACGGGAAACAGGGACAGGCTGGGGGAGCCGCTCCGTGCCCCCCAAACCCGCAGGATCTGCCGGGGGGGCTCCAAGCAGCCGAGCCCTCGGGAATGGGGGTCCCAGCTCCGTGTCGGGGTGGGGGTGAGGGGAGGCACAGTCCCGCGGGCTCCGCACGTCTGGCTCTGCTCCAGCCTTCGCTATTCCCGCTGCTCCTTCCTCTTCCTCGCCCTTCTCCCTGAGCGCTGAGAAACGGCGGCGGCTTCGCTCCGGTGGCCTTTGGTCCCACCGTGTCCCCGCCGTCCCTCGGGCCTCTGCCGGGCACCGACGCCCCCTTTCCCCTCCCCGGTGCCACGGACGATGTCCCGGTCCTGTCCCGGTCTCGATCCTGACCCCAGTCCCGGTCCTGCTCCCGGTCCCGGTTTCCGGACCGGCTCCGGTGCTTGATCTCCGCTTTCGGTGGCAATAATTCCCCCGGCGTGATGGGGCTGGATCGGGAGCGGTGTCGGAAGCGGGACCGGGATCAGCACAGGGACCCGGATCAGGATCAGGACCGGGATCGGGATGGGGATCGGGATAGGGATCGGGATCGGGATCGGGATGGGGGCCGGGATCGGGACCGGGATCAGTATCAGGACCGGGATCGGGATCAGGATCAGGATCGGGATCAGGACCGGGATCGGGATCGGGATCGGGATCAGGATCGGGACCGGGACCGGGACCGGGATCGGGATGAGGATCAGGATCAGGATCAGGATCAGGATCAGGATCAGGATCAGGACCGGAATCGGTATCAGGATCAGGATCGGGATCAGGATCAGGATCAGGATCAGGACCGGGATCGGTATCAGGATCAGGATCGGTATCAGGATCGGGATCAGGACCGGGATCAGGACCGGGATCGGTACCGGGATCAGGATCAGGACCAGGATAGGGATGGGGACCTGGATCAGGACCGGGATCGGGATCAGGACCGGGATCACGATCAGGATCAGGACCGGGATCGGGATGAAGATCAGGATCGGGACCGGGATCGGTACCGTGCGTGCTGGGCGCCCCCTGGCGGCCTCATGGCCCTGCCGGAACAAAGGCCGGACCCGGGACCCCCCGAGCCCCCCGGGACCCCCTTTTAGGATCCCAGGAACCTCTTTTGGGACCCCCCGGGACCCTCCCGCGGGCAGGGTGCTCGGAACCCCCGCAGCGGCCGCACGGGCGCTGCTCCCGGCAGCGGGGATGGCCCTGCTGCCCCGGGCTGGGGCACTCGGGATGAGCCGGGTCCCTTCCTCCTCCTCCTCCTCCTCTCCCGACCCCGACGGGCAGGTTGGGCAGGAAGAGCCTGGGGAGAACACACGACCCGCGGGTAAACGAGCCAAGGGGAGCGGCTGGGGCTCCCCCAAACCCTCCCAGCTCCCCCCGGGTCCCCACATCCACAGGGGACCCCTCAAACCAGGGCACTGCGAGCTGGGGGTTGCTGCAGTTGGGGCTCAGCAATTTGAAAAGAAACATTTTGGAGAAATAACATCACCTTTCCCTACACAGAGCATGGGGAGGGGGCACAAGAGCTCCTGAGGACCCCCAAAAGGATGGGATGAGGATTCACCCCCTCCTGAAGGAACCCAGCTGGGAGCTTTAACACACCTGTAACTCTCACCTTCCACCTCCCACTCCACCCCTGTCAAACCTCAGCACCATCAAAAAATCCCTCCACACACCCAAACAGCAGCAAACCTTTCGGTGGAGGCGGATTCAAACAACAAACACACAAACGACTTGTTGGGAGTAAAAAAATATGTTTTGTTTTTTTTTTTTCCTTTTAATTACATCAGTTATCAAAGAAAACGACAACAAAAAAAAAGCAGTGGTAACAAAAATACAAAGCTCTGAGGGTTTCTTGTTTTTGTTTGCTCTGTAATATGCTGAGAGCATCAGTGCAATTGTTTTAATTTAACTTCTGCTCTGAGTCCCTGCTGGCAGCATAGGAGTAGGCTTTGCCCAGCACCAGCCGGTCCCGCAGCAGTTTGAAGAAGGCGTAGTAATTGCTGAAGAGGATCAGAGCCAGTGAGATCGTCTGGTGCCACTTCTCCGAGGAAATCAGCGAGTAGAGCTGGTAGAAGATGACAGCTCCTTCCAGCAGGATCAAGATGTTGAGGATTCGCAGTGGTTTGCTGAAAAAGAACTGTGGGAGAGCAGGGTGAGGCACCTGGCAGAAGGTGAAACCTTTGGGTGAGGACTGGGAGGATTCCTCGGGACACTTTGGCTCTGGATGGAGTCACAGGGCTGAGATGCTGCCTGAACCCCAGCAACTCCCCTGCCCTGGGCACAGACCCCCAGCTCCACCAGCCTGAGGTGTCCAGGACCACAATCCTGCGGCGTTATCCCTGCTCCCAGCAAGGAGAGGGGAGGAGAGCTTACGTGGAACCTGAAGTGCGAGACGTCCGAGGGCACGGCCACGTTGTAGTGACCCACGGCCTTGTAGACGTTCTTGCTGTGCTTCACCAGCACCCCCTGAGGCCACATGCACTCCTCAGTCCACCTGCAGGGAACAAGAGAACCCTCAATCCCACCTGCATGGGGCACTGGGCTCTGCAGCAGGGAGGAGCACAGGGATACTGCTCCTGGTTTGGAAGTGTCACCACGGCAGTGACAAACTGCAGGTAGCTGTGGCCAGGAGCAACAGGCACCCTGCCAAAAATCAGCTCTGCTTGGCAGGGGACAGTGCCCAGAGTGTCAGTGTCAGCCAACAACTCTGCTCTCGCTTTTCTCTGGTTTACTTTAAGGCTGAGCTCCCCACCCACCCAGCAGAAGTGCAGCCTTTAGCCCAGGAGAGAATTCCTTACTGGTGCTGCAGCACGTTGGAGCAGAGGGCCGGATCCACCTTCTGCCAGCAGCCGAGGTGTGCTGCAGCTTTGTGGAGCAGGTCACAGTATCGTGCAGGGAGCAGGTACTGCATGAGGATCACCGAGGTGCTGATGGAAACCAGCAGGAAGAGCTCACAGGACCAGCGTTTGTCGTAGTACTGAGTGTTCTGGGGGGGACAGGAAGTGTTTGGACACTGTGGGACACACCTTTGGACAGCCTCGCCTGCCCAGGGCATCACAACACAGAGCACCTGGGCAGGCAGGTAAAACGAGGGCTCTGCACGGAGCTGTGGATCCTGCCTGGAAAGGAAGAGCCCATGTGGGATGGGGGATGGAGAATTCCTGCAAAATATTTGTGCCATCATCACCAGGACTGGGGAGGCAGCTCCTGATGGTCCCCATGCTGAGCTGACGGAGCACCAGCCCCTCGGGGGACAGGGACAGCCTCACCCCTCAGGCCCATTTACCAGCAGACATTCCGAATTCCATTACCAGGAGCCATCCTCAAGTGTCCTCCCTCACTGTGCCACCACAGCCCAGTGTCACCTCCCAGCCAGGCCTCACCTTGACAAACCACACAGGCACAAAGGCCACGTAGTAGGCACTGAGCATGGAGCTCACCAGCACCTCCTTCATGCGCCAGTTGAAATCCATTTTCAGGAATTCCACCTCGTTGCGGATGAGGTCTGGGGAGAGGCAGCAGGCATGGCTGGGCATGGCCTCCATGCCGTACATCTGCCTCGTGTGCTGCTTCCAGGTCTCCTTGAGCACTGTCAGGTAGTCCCTGCCCCGGGCTGTCACCTCCCCTGTGTCCCTGGGGCCAATGTTGGCCACCTGGGCGAAGAGCCCTGCCTTCCGAAAGTCACAGTTCAGCTGGAGGAAGGGGATGTACATCCCAAACCTGGAAAAACACAGACCTCGGGAGCTGCATCCCATCCCGCTGCCGTCACAGCCCCATCCCAAATTCCCCTCTGGGGTTTTGAGCTGGAAGAGCTTGTGGCTTGGAGCAACCTGGGACAGTGGAAGGTGTTCCTGGCCATGCTGGGTGAGCTTTAAGGTCCATCCTCCGCCCCAACCCAAGTCTGGGATCTCATGATTGATTCCAAAGGGAAACTCCCAAAAAGAGCCCTGAGCTCAAACACAGGCAGCAAACCTCTGTGGATGTTTCCTCCTGCATCTACCAGGGAGGAGGGAGCTATTTCCACTCCAAATATTTCCTTTTGATAGGTAACAAAAATCCAGGAGCTGTTTGAATCCCTCCACCTGGCAGAGGAGGCCAGGAACAAAGGGAAAACCGATCCCTGAGTTCTGTCAGCGCCATGGGAAAACCACACAACCCTTTCCAGAAGACACCAGCAGCAATAATGACTAATAATTAATGCTCACATCAAGCTAAAACAGGGGTCAATGTCCCAGATGTGCCCTGCCACCACGGAATGTGACACAGGAGAAGGGAGAGGTGCAGGGAAAACTCTGTGTGCATGGGCAGGGACACCTTCCACAAACCCAGGCTGCTCCAAGCCTTGGAGCCTTCCAGCTCAGAACCCCACAGGGCTGCAGGGAGCCTCCCCCTGGACTTTGTGTGCATCCCCCAGCCCAGAGCCAGGGATACTCACGGGTAGCACAGGAACAGGAGGTTGAGGAATGAGTAGGTCCTGAAGAGGTGGATGATGGAGCGACACAAACTCCAGCCTGTGCCCGTGAGGACGGCGAAGCGAGTGACCACCAGGAAGATGGAGCGTGGCAGGGAGACTTTGCCACTCTGGGAAGCCTGTGGGACACAGGAGAGAGCTGGGCATTCCCTCTTCTTAAAGGAGAAAACAGTGTGTAAAATCAGAGCTGCCAAGGAAGTGCCAGGGACAAGTTGACACCAGGGCAGGGAGGCTTTCTGTGGAATCCGGGCTTTCCAAAAGCTCTGGAATCTGGGTTTCATTCCTCAGGGAGTGAGGGGAGTTTCTAGTTAAGGCCTGGTAGTGCCCAGCACACTCTCCCGGCATTGTGGATACTTCCACAGTGAGCATCCCTGGCTCTTTCCTGGGGAAAGCTGGAGTGATGGAGAGAGCAGGAAAAGAGCCAAAAGGCAGGAGGGAATCCCAGGCACCACAGTCTGGCTGAGACAGAAATTCAGAGTCAGATAAGGACACAGAGTCAGCAGGAGCAGTGGGCTGGGGAGCTCAGTTCTGTTCTCTGCTCCTCCCACCGCCTGGGATTTTGACTATGGAATACCACAGAGGTCTTTAGGGAGGGATGGAGGAGTCTGGAGTGGCAAAAGTGACACAGAGCTTTATGAAGGACAGCTCTGACTTTACCTCCTTGACCACAGCACCGATGAGCCGCCGTGCCAGCACGATGGTTGTCACCGTCAGCACGTTGAAGTCAATGAGGTGAAAGTTCTGTGGGGACAAAACTAAAATTATTCTGTTTTCATCAGCAGCAGGAACCCACATTCAACACAAAAAGTCCCACATTATTCTCTTCTCCTTGGACTCTCTTCCAAGAGAATGCCAAGCCAGCAGCCAGAACCCAAAAATGTGGGAAACAGGAGTGGCAGGAGCAATCCTGAAGGGTCAGATGCAACTTTTATCAACCATTATCTCCAAAACTTTACATTTAGCGGTCCAAGAGACAGCCTGGGAGCTCCAGCTGCCCTTTGGTGCTTACCAGGGACGTGTGAGAAGGAGGGTGGGAGGGCGGGTACCACCACACTGTCTTGTAGATGTTGATGTAGTGGACGAAGAGGGCGACGAGGTGGCAGAAGAAGAGCTGCAGCTCGAACAGGACGCTCCTCTCCACGGGCAGCTCGGGGATCTTGCAGTGCCGCAGGGGAACGACTGTCTGAGCTGCCAGAGGGGGGCTGGACAGGCCTGTCCCTGAGCCACTCCTGCCAGGGGAAGCCAAGAGCCAGGGGTGAACAGGGGAATGTCCTCCAGCTCCCCCCTCCACAGGTCTCAGATTGATTGGGGAACTCAAGTTATCCCTGGCTGGCACAAATCACAAATTTCAGGCAGATATTTGGACCCAGGACATTTGATATTAAATCTTCTGTGTTGTTCAAACCCAGGGTTGTGTTGTGCTACTCAGTGGCTGCCTTAATTAATTGGAAGCTTTCAGAGCTCAAGTTGATGTTTACATATCTAAGAGTGCTTGAACATGAAAGGCAGAGCAATTACACACAAGCCCTTGTTCATTCTTCACCTTCTGTTCACCTGAGGAGGAAAAACGAGTTTAGCCAGAGGTGCCTCTTGCTGTGTGAGCACGCACACAATCCCAGACTGACCCTCTGGATCAAGGGGAATGAATATCTCCCAGACTGAGCTGCAATGCCTAAATAACAACAGGCAAAGGAATCTGGGTATGGGCCTCAAAGGAACTGCAGAGCACAAAGTGTAAATCCCCAAATGAAATCTCAATCGTGGAGTGTGGCTGTGGATCCAGGGGGATCAGGCCATGGTTTCAAACAGGAGATGGAGAACCTAAAATAAGGCATTGAGTGAGGGAAAACCTGAGGAGCCTGAGCTGTCTCTCTGAAATGCCCAAATTCCCAAACCCATGGTGATCCAGAGCCTTAGCACTGGCAAATCATGGAATCACAGAATGCTCTGGGCTGGAAGGGACATCAAGGATCATCTAGGGCATGGGCAGGGACACCTTCCCCTATCCCAGGTGGCTCCGAGCTCCATCCAACCCAGGCTTGGACACTTTGAGGGATGCAGCAGCCACAGCTTCTCTGGGAATTCCATTCCAGCCCCTCCCTACCCTCCCAGGGGAGGATTTCTCCCTAAAATCCCATCTGGCAGTGGCAAGCCATTCCCTGTGTCCTGTCACTTCACAGCCTGGCACAAAGCAGAGCTCTCGATGCCTTGGAGGTGAGCTGGGTGTGGGTCTGTGCATTCCCTGCCTGGGATAAGGCCCTGGGTGTGTGCTTTTCCCAGGAAAGGTGGATTGCTCCACCTCCTGTGGCCTTGCAATGACATGTCTGGATAACTGTACCCCTAGAAATTCCTGTCTCAGGGCCCTCAGCTGAGGCAGATTGAACATTTTCTTTGCAGAGTAAATAAAGAACCTCCTGATTATGCTGTTGCTCCTTGGCTTCTCCCTCCTCTGCCCCAGTGACAGAATCCAGCTGATCCTAAAGAACCTCACAGAGCCACATTACCTGACACCAACTTCAGGGCACTGCAGGTGCAACAACTCCAGCTGGGCTCTGGACATAAAATTGTTTCTATTTTTATTTCTCATTCCCTGGTCACTGAAGGGTTTTGAACTTTCCTGGGAGCCTGTCCTGAAGAGTCTCAGGGACACCCATCCTAATGCCAAGGGGTGGTATGGACAAATCAGGGTATAGGAAAAGGGAACTGGGAGTTAACAAGAAAGTGGAATGGTTTCCCAGTCCCAGAGGGCTGGGTTTGATGGGATACTGGCAACAAATTCCTCCCTCTGAGGGTGGGGAGGAGCTGGAATGGAACTCCCAGAGAAGCCATGGCTGCTCCATCCCTGGAAGTGTCCAGGGCTGGGCTGGACTGGGGTTGGAATAACCTGGGATAGGGAAAGGTGGGGAAATGTGATGAGCTTTAAGATCAGGGAATGGGATGAGCTTTAAAATCAAGGAATGGGAAGTTTTACTATCAAGGAATGGGACGAGTTCTAAGATCACGGAATGGGATGAGTTTTAAGGTTGGGGAATGGGATGAGTTTTAAGGTTGGGGAATGGGATGAGTTTTAAGGTTGGGGAATGGGATGAGTTTTAAGGTTGGGGAATGGGATGAGTTTTAAGATCGGGGAATGGGATGAGTTTTAAGGTTGGGGAATGGGATGAGTTTTAAGATCAGGGAATGGGATGAGTTCTAAGGTCGGGGAATGGGACGAGTTCTAAGGTCGGGGAATGGGACAGGCTTTAGGATCAAGGAATGGGATGAGCTCCAAGGTCCTCCCCAGCCAGCCCACTCCACGCCAGAGGCATCCCCAGCTGTCCCTGGTGGCGGGCCGTGCCCGTACCTGGTCCGGGAGCGCACGCCGGTGACGGAGGAGCCCGAGGAGTGTCCGGAGGCTCCGGCAGCTCCGGGCTCGCACAGGGGGTTCCGGCAGTAGGAGGTTCTGTTGGGACCCCGGCGTCCCCCGGCCATTCCCAGGAGTTTGGGGAATTCCTGGCTGCTCACTGTGGGCTGGGCTCGGCCCTCACCACTGCAGGGAGACATTGAGCATGTATTAATTATAATTTCTTAATTGTTATTTCTTATTGAGAGTTCCAGGCCTCTCCATCACCACCCCATTGCTCCAGGATAATCCTAATTTCTCCAGACATTTTTTCTCTGTCTGCCACATTTCCCCAGGCCATGGATGCAACCCCAAGGAGCTCCAACCTTGCTGAGGTGCTGGGAATTCATCACTTTAAAAGGAATTCCATCTGCATCCCTGTGGTGTCAGACTCCAGAGAAGCTCAACATTTCGCCCCAATAATTCTGAAAACTGGGATATTTTGGTATCATCTTGTGTTGGAACTGAAGGTTACAGCTCTTTAAAATGATTCTTTTCTTTTTGACTCTTTAAGATGGGAAAATACATCACATTTTTAGGGTACTTGATTTATGTTCTGATGGCACTGAGGTCAATGGGGTCAGCCCAAATTCAGCTTTTCCAGTGCTTGTTTGCCACACACAAAACTCATCCCGAGGTTTTTCAAACTTTCTCTGGATGCTGTTAACCTCAGGAGAATCCACACAAGTGACAAAAAAACCCCATTTCCAAGAGAAATCTGAGCTGTGAGGGAAACTCAGGGCAGATCAATGACTGCACATTTCTTTTCCTGGTGGATCATTTCCAGCTTGCACTGCTTCGGAATTTGCATCTGGAGCAACAAGATACGTGCTGAAGGTTTAGAAACTGATCCCAAAGGAGTTTTAAAGCTGATGCTGAGCTCGGGAGTTCTCCAAAAACCCCTTCCTAGAGCTGGATCTTGTTTTGGGGAGCTGCTGGGATCGTTTTTGGGAACTGCAGAAGCTCTGGGAGCTCCAAGGAGGCTCTGAAGAAGCAGTTGAAACTGTGAGGGCACAGACTGGGGGGAATTTGGAGTCCGGAGAGGCGCAGGAAGGAACCACGAAGGCTCCAAGAGGGAAATTGGAAATGTGGGGGCACAGTGGGGGCTGTAAACGGAAATTTGGGCGTAAAACTTGGGGTCAAAGGGGCTGTAAAAGGGAAATGTGGGACACAAACGGGGGCTGCAGGAAAACACTGGGGACCACAGGGGCTCTGAGGGAGCTGTGAGAGAGAAATCTGGGGACCGAGCGGGGCTGCACAAAAGCTGAGAGGGCCGGGGGGCTGCAGCGGGACCCTGGGGGGCTTTAAAAACCCGACCGGCCTACTCAGGACCCGCACGGGAGCGCCACGGAAGGCTCCGAGGGCGCTCTGTGAGCGCTCCCCGAGCCCGCGGGGCTCTGAGGGGCTCGGGGGCTCCGGGCGAGGCCGCGGCGAGGGAGCCGCCCCCCTCAGCGCGGCGGGGCGAGCCGCGGGGCTCTCCCCCGCCCCGCCCGCCGCCCGAGCCGCTCCCCGGCGGCCGCCGGGCGGGTTCCCTCCAGCCCGTTCCGCCCGTTCCCCCCACGGCCGCGCTGCCCCCGGCCCGGCCCCCCTCACCCATCGCCGGCCGCCGCTCCGCCTGCGCCGGGCACAATATGGCGGGCGGGGCGCGACGGCAAGCGGCGCGGGACAAAGCTGCTGCGGGGCGCGAACGCGGGAAAAAAGCCACGCCCTTCGCGTGGCCACGCCCACCCGGCCACGCCCAGCGGGGCCCGGCGGTGTCACCGGGAAAATGCCGGCAGCGTTCCTCGGTATTGCCGGGAATGAGGAATCCCTCCCTGCTCCAGGTTCCTCCGCGCCGCGGTTCGGTGCTGCCATTCACCTGGAAGGGTTTAGAGCGCCCTCCAGGTGTGGTTTATTCCCAATTCTCCGCTCGGTTTTGTGGGGGTTGGTGTTTCGGCGCGGATGGGTCCATATAAAACTGAGCCAGCCCTGCCTAGGCTGGAGGAAAAAGCGGCCCTGGAATGGATGGACTTGCACAGAGCCGAGCTTTGCTTCTTTTCTGGTGTTTTTTTGGCTGTACAGAGAGGTCTGGAGTGCCCATCCCTGCAGGTGTCCAACCGGTGGGGATGGGGACAGATCTTGGAGCGCTTTTCCAACTTAAACTGATTCTGGGGCTGTGCAAAACCATCAAAAATCAGGAGTGGCCAAACACCTGATGTTTAAGAGGATCCTCTAAAGGTACCAGGAGATCCCTAAAAATACTGTCAGGCTAAAAAATGTATCTGGAATGTGATGGATGAACCTTTTTCGGTCGTGTCTAGTTCCAAATTCAGTGGTAAAATGAACACTTCCATCAGGAAACAGTTTATATTTCAGTTTTCCAACAGGCAGCTGGAGATCCAAGGGAATTCCCAGGATCCAAGGGAGGCTCTGGTGTTCTCCAACACTCCCAAAAAACCTGGCAGATTCCCATTTTCCAGTCACAGCAAACAGTGTTTGAACTGATCCTCGAGCAGCTCCTGGGAGATTCATCCCTCTTGGCAAAAGGAGCAAAGGGAGCATGGAAATCATCCTTTTCCATGTGAAAACATATGGAAAGCTCAACTGAGCAGCACAGTTCTGTGCTCACACCCAGGGAACTTCCCGAGGGGAAAAATTCAGGAATAACATCCCCATCCTGGATGGAAGCCCCCAGGGACACTGGCCAAGCTGCAGGAATTCTTCCCCCTCACCACCCACGGCTCAGCCGAGGTGTTGGAGCTTGAGCCATGAAGGAGAAACTCCCTGAGCTCTCTTTTCCTCCCCAAAAGCTTCAGCTGGAGAATTCCCTGCTCTCCTCCTCCAGAGCCACTCCAGGCTGCTGAAATCACCCTGCATCCCAAGGTTTTTTTTTTTGGGAGAGCAGCAAGAGGGGTTAAGGAAGTAAAAAATTACATTCCAGTTATTTTTTCTTGGCAGATGCTCTCATATAAATTTCAAATTTGTTCAAATCTAGACAAGGAATCCAGCTGTGCTCTCCAACTCAGCCAAGCTAAGGAATTTTGGAGGGGTGCACTGAGGTAAAAGATCAAACCACTGTGCTTTCAGTCAGGCTGAGATATAAAAAAATCCCAGGAAAGCTGTGGAATTCCCATCCCTGGAGCATTCCTGGAGTGTTGGATAGCGGAAAGTGGCCCTGCCATGGGACTGGAGCAGCTTTTTAAGGTCCCTCCCACCCCAAAGCATTCCCTGAATCCATGATTCCATAGAATAAAGCTCAGAGCCACTCGCTTTATTGAAATAATCCAAACAGAAAATGGAAAGCAGGGGTAAGGAACAGGGGATGAGGCTCTTTCCAGGAAAAGCTGCTGGGGATGCCTCTGGAATTCCAGCTGGAGAGTTTTCCTCGGATTCACTCCCCACTAAGGACAAAACCCAGGTTTGTGCCAGCTCCAAGCAAGGCCAGGCTGAGGTTTTCCAGGAGGCTGGAGGTTTTCCCACTCAGGGAAAAGGCCCAGGAAGATGGGAATGCCGAGGCACAGAGCAGGAGGATGTTCCCAATCCAAGCTCCTCCTGACAAAACCAGGTTTTTGTTGGGAAACACTTCCAGAGAGGAGACGTGGACAGAGCCAAGAACAACAGGGGCTTTTCTCTGGATTGGGGCCTTTCCCAAAATCCTACAAATAACAGGATGTGGATGAGCCCTTTGGGAAAACAGGGAGAGGAAAAGATCTCTGGCACTTGGGAGCGGAATTCCATCAGGAAAGGGAAGGTTCTCCAGGTTACTGAGGTGACTCAGACTCCCAGGAATCTCCATCCCTCCCAAATCCCTGCATCACCCCCGGAATGTTTGGCTAATTAGAGCATCTCTGAGAGGCACATCCGACGCTGAGGGCTTATTTTGGGATCTCAAATGAGCTCTGGCAGGCTCCAGGTCTAAAATCTGCCTGGAAAAGCGCTGGAAGAGGGAAGGAAAGAGGGAGGGAGCTGTCTGATCCAAGGAATGTTTGCAAAACACTCCCAGCACATCCAGTTATTTCAATGTTCACATTTCCATCCTGCCATAACATTCGAATCCTTCCCATCAACATCCCACAAAAAAAGCAAGGCACGAGCTGGGTTATTCCAAAGGCAGCGTCACAAGATCCATTTGGGAATAAACTGCATCCTAAGAGATGATCTCTAGCAAATCTTTTCCACTTGACCTAAAAGCTGTGCCTATTAAGAGAGAAATGGGAAAGATTGGTGCGTTGCCACTGAAATTGATGCTCCAATTCCACGGGAAGTGAAGATGGATTTGAAAACCAGGCCACAAATCAAGGCCTGTTATCATTTCCCTCCTGGCAGGATGCAATTTTCAAAGTGTGGGAATTCAGGATGAACTCCTTGCTGCAGCATTCCCACAAATTCGCTCTTCCCTGTTCCTGATGCTCCTGAGGTGACAGGGGCTCGTTTGGGAGCTTTGTAATTCCCTATAAAATTGGATTTATCCTTTGATGTCCCGTGCTCGGCTTGGCTTTGGGCTTTTCCAGCATTTCCAGGGTGGATTCCTTTGTAATTTTTATTTATGGAGCTCAGATTTCCAGGGATCTCAGGGGAAGCATTTGCTGTTCCCAAAGGAATCCCGTGGGGGGGAATTGTGCTGATGTCATCACCCCCAACCACTTCCAGCCACTTAACAAAGTGATTTTTTTAGGGAATCATCTCTGTTCCATCCCTGGAAGCGTTCCAGCAATTTGGGAGAGGGGAAGGAATCCCTGCCCATGGGAATTTAAGGCTGCCCCAACCCCAAACCATTCTGGGATTGTGAAATGCATGCCAGGATCACTGAGGGAGATTCCCTGGCAGGATTCCATAAAAACAAATCCCAGCAGCCACATCCCATTCCAGAGTCCATGGATGAGAAGAGGAAGGGCTGGAACTGGCAAGGTTTAAAGATCTGCAGCCTGGAATTTTACTGGATTGTGGTCTCCTGTGGGAATCCCTGAGCCATTCCCAGAGCCTGGGAATTCCTGAGCCAGAGCCTGGGAGCTCCTGAGCCATTCCCAGAGCCTGGGAATTCCTGAGCCAGAGCCTGGGAGCTCCTGAGCCATTCCCAGAGCCTGGGAATTCCTGAGCCAGAGCCTGGGAGCTCCTGAGCCATTCCCAGAGCCTGGGAATTCCTGAGCCAGAGCCTGGGAGCTCCTGAGCCATTCCCAGAGCCTGGGAATTCCTGAGCCAGAGCCTGGGAGCTCCTGAGCCATTCCCAGAGCCTGGGAATTCCTGAGCCAGAGCCTGGGAGCTCCTGAGCCATTCCCAGAGCCTGGGAATTCCTGAGCCAGAGCCTGGGAGCTCCTGAGCCATTCCCAGAGCCTGGGAATTCCTGAGCCAGAGCCTGGGAGCTCCTGAGCCATTCCCAGAGCCTGGGAATTCCTGAGCCAGAGCCTGGGAGCTCCTGAGCCATTCCCAGAGCCTGGGAATTCCTGAGCCAGAGCCTGGGAGCTCCTGAGCCATTCCCAGAGCCTGGGAATTCCTGAGCCAGAGCCTGGGAGCTCCTGAGCCATTCCCAGAGCCTGGGAATTCCTGAGCCAGAGCCTGGGAGCTCCTGAGCCATTCCCAGAGCCTGGGAATTCCTGAGCCAGAGCCTGGGAGCTCCTGAGCCATTCCCAGAGCCTGGGAATTCCTGAGCCAGAGCCTGGGAGCTCCTGAGCCATTCCCAGAGCCTGGGAATTCCTGAGCCAGAGCCTGGGAGCTCCTGAGCCATTCCCAGAGCCTGGGAATTCCTGAGCCAGAGCCTGGGAGCTCCTGAGCCATTCCCAGAGCCTGGGAATTCCTGAGCCAGAGCCTGGGAGCTCCTGAGCCATTCCCAGAGCCTGGGAATTCCTGAGCCAGAGCCTGGGAGCTCCTGAGCCATTCCCAGAGCCTGGGAATTCCTGAGCCAGAGCCTGGGAGCTCCTGAGCCATTCCCAGAGCCTGGGAATTCCTGAGCCAGAGCCTGGGAGCTCCTGAGCCATTCCCAGAGCCTGGGAATTCCTGAGCCAGAGCCTGGGAGCTCCTGAGCCATTCCCAGAGCCTGGGAATTCCTGAGCCAGAGCCTGGGAGCTCCTGAGCCATTCCCAGAGCCTGGGAATTCCTGAGCCATTCCCAGAGCCTGCTGTGCTCCTGGAGCACCGGGTAACAAATCCCAAGGCTTGGGAAGCACAGAACCTTTAAGGCCTCTCATTCCATGAAATCCAGCTCCCCCCTGCTCACAAATCCCTGCATCCCAGCTCCAAGGCGCAGATCCCATCCCAAAATCCTTTAAAACCCCCCAAAACCTCAGCTGAGGAGCCTCCTCCACGCCCTGACCTCTGCCAGAGCAGCAGGCAGGGAAGCAGCTTCCCTCCTTTTTTTATTTAATTCGTGTGGATCCAAGGAAAAACTGGAATTTAGCAGCTCAGATGGTGCCACCCCCACGCTGGGAACTCAACAAGGGGTTGTAAAAAATCCCCCAAAACTCACCCAGCTGGCGCTGCTCCTCCTCCTCCTCCTCCCCCCGCTGAGTCACGGCGCCAAATCCCTGCAAATTAAAGGAAAAAAAAATAAAAAATCGTGAGGATCCTCAACAGAAGCAGAGATACCAAAAAAAATCTTCACAGAAAATAATAATAATAAGAATAATAATAAAAAAAAAAAAGGATAAAGAAGGAAAAAGATTCCTGCATGCAATTACACATGAAGGAAAAACATGCAAGTTCAGCTGAGCTATGGACATTTCACAGGAAACAGCAATACTGGGGGGGCTAAAAATTGATATTTTCAAACAACTGAGCAGAATTTGGGGTTTGGTTGGTTTTTTGTTTTTTTTTTTTGGCAGTAGCAGGACTAGCTTGGATTCATGTTCATTTTACATCTTTTATCCTTTAAAAATTCAGGATATTTAAAAGATTCCTTTTGGCCCACATTCCATCCCAGTGCATCTGCCAAGGGCACATTATTAAATAAAGTTATTGCTAATTTATGCCGGAGCCATGTGGGTTGGTTTAAATGTTTATATTTAAAACATTTTTTTTTCTTTTTTTCATAGTTTTTTTTTTGGGTTTTGGTTGGTGTTTTTTGTCCCCTTTTGCATTAAATTAACATCTGAAGGGTCGGCTGGGTAAAAAAGTTTACGTCACAGGTTTATGGAAAAGAGAAATGTGCTATATTAAAATCAGACATTTAGGTTACCTTTTGGGATTTGCGATGCCTGTTAGCTTTACACATCCTGATTTCTCCTGCTGATAATTTTCCTTTAAAAGGGGGGGCATAGGCTGATCTTTTCATCACATTATGCCCTGAAAGCTGACTCCAAACCAGTGTTGAAAATTCAGTTATTTGCACTTTAATAACAATCTACAAATACAACTTTTGTGGTTTTTGGTTTGTTTTTTTTTTCCTTTTTATTTTTTAAATATTCCCCTCTGTTCATGCGCTGCAGTTTGTTGGTTTTGTTGTTTTTTTTTTTTTCCCTAAAGTTCTATTTTTCACCCCCAAGCAGTTTAATCCTCTCCCCTTAAAATTCCAAATTCATCTGCTGGATGGGAAATAACAAACCATGAAGCCTTTATTTTTAAATATAAATATATTAAATATTTCTACATCCACACCCTCTCAGAAAGGATTTAAGGAGCAGCTGCTGCACCATTCACCAACAAAAAATTCATTTTTAAAGTGTTTTTTTTCCAAGGAAAAGCTGCTTTGGAAACATCATCTTAGCCAAGGGGGGGTTACAGAAAGCAAATTCCTTGGAATTCTCAGCAATCCTACTTAAACCAGCCTCTGGAATATTCTCTGAGGCCACCTGAAATCTGAATCATCGAGCAAAGAACCATCACACGCTTTCCAAATTCAGATTTCTGCCTCAAAACTGCTTTCAGCAACTTCCAGGGGGTGAAAAACAATTTTTGTTTTGTCTTTTTCATATTTTTTTTTTTTTTAAAAAGAAATTTAAGCTTGAAAAAAAATTTTGTTTTCTCACGAGAATTACCAAAAGACCACCATTTTTTTAAAAAAAAATGCCTCCACGGTTTTAAAATAAATAATAAATAATAATAATAATAATAAAAAAAGACAAATTAATTTTAGCATGAATTTAAAAGTTGTTTGAAAAATAAAAATAAAACCTCCAAAAAACAAATGACAATTCATCACATTTACTTTGATTAAAAAAGGACTAAACTTTATTGACAGATTGAGACAGACATTTTGACACGTTTTGAGCTACCTAGTTAGGCAGACTTTACACAAAATGTAGCATTTTTCTCTTCCAGAACAGAGTGGGAGGACAGTGTAACAAATCCAATTAGGACTTTATCTTATGTACAAGGTGAAATTTGGGATTGTTTTTTTGTCTGTTGTTTTGTTTTTGTTTTTGATTTTATTTTTTTACAGCTGCAGTGTCCCTTTTTATGAGAAGCTCGTGCTGAGATACACTTGAACAAGTGGCTGGGACTTCTTAAAATTGAGATTTTTTTTTTTTTCGGGGCAAGTTTGAGATTTTCATCAGATTTTCTGCCCCAAAGTGCTACAAAAAAAAGAGAATTTTACAGGCCTACCCATGGATTATTATTTCTATCGAACACTGGGCAATTAGAGCCATATTTTGGGGTTTTTTTCCCTTAAAAATTGTTCATTTAGAACCAAACTAAAACCCCTCTCCACTGGAAAAATATTCCCAAGCATATCTCAACACTGCATGGGGGCTAGATTTCAAAATCCACATAAGAAAAGTCAATTTTTTTTACCAACCTAATTTTTCCTTTTAAGTCAATTCTCTTTAGAAAATGCTATTTAATTTGTTTGGAGGATCCTTTAGGTTAAAATTTAAACTTCAAGATTCACCAGCAATCTCCTTTTAAAGGTTTGGCATCTGAAGTTATTTTTTTGTTTTTTAAATGGTGGCAGCCACTACTGTAACATTATGATTTTAATTCTTAAAAAAATAACCCTGAATTTTGAAATGTAGCCTACTTTGGGATTCTGCAACTACAACCTTTATGGGTTCCTTTAAAACAAACTTTAAAAGTTTTAACAAAACCTTAAGTTCAGAACTAAGCAAAGCATGTCACTTTGGAAACTAACATTTTTAAACTTTTTTTTTTTTTAGTTTTTTTTGTTTGTTTGTTTTCCTTAAAAAAGTTACATTTTTTTTTAACCTAAAATGACAAAGAAAGAAAAGCCATCTACACACTGAAGAAGAAGAAGAAGAAAAAAAAATAATAATAATAATAATAAAAATTAAAAAGTTTTCCTCTAAATCTATTTAAATTCATCTCGAGAAGTCACTACATACAGAAGCCAAAATGCAGGGTGAGGATGGAGTGGGAGGAAAAAAAGGGCCAGGAAGAAAAACAGGGAGACAATTACTTGTCTGCTGTGGGTAAAGCAACGGGAATCCCGGGAGATACAAGAACCAGTTACAACTGTTTGCTCCTAAATGGGGATTTTTTCCCTCATTTTTTGTGTTTTAGTAGCGTCCGTAGGGGTGCTCTCTGTAGCCCCCCTTAACTGGCCTGGCCGGAGGGGCCTTCAGGGAGGGCCGGGTTCCATTCCAGTCATCTTGGCCTGTGGGGAAAAGGAGGAGAAAGTCAAGGATGGGATGGATGGAGGGAGAGTCCTAAAAATGGGATGGGAAAGGTGGTGGGAGCCCCCAGAATCCAGCTTGTGATCCAGCAGAACTGCTCCTGATCCCCTCAAATCCACCAAAACAGATCCTGATTCCTTCAAAACCCAGCTTGTGATCCAGCAAAACTGCTCCTGATCTCCCAAAATCCACCAAAACAGATCCCGATTCCTTCAAAATCCAGCTTGTGATCCACCAAAACAGCTCCTGATCCCTCAAAATCCAGCCTGTGATCCACCAAAACTGCTCCTGATTCCCTCAAAATCCAGCTTGTGATCCACCAACACAGCTCCTGATCCCTCAAAATCCAGCTTGTGATCCAGCAGAACTGCTCCTGATCTCCCCAAATCCGCCAAAACTGCTCCTGATTCCTCCAAATCCACCTTGTCATCCACCAAACCTGCTCCTGATTCCCCCAAAATCCACCCTGTCATCCAAAAAACCACCTCCCAATTCCCTCAAAATCCAGCTTGTGATCCAGCAAAACTGCTCCTGATCTCCCAAAATCCACCAAAACAGATCCCGATTCCTTCAAAATCCAGCTTGTGATCCAGCAGAACTGCTCCTGATCTCCCCAAATCCACCAAAACTGCTCCTGATTCCTCCAAATCCACCTTGTCATCCACCAAAACTGCTCCTGATTCCCCCAAAATCCACCCTGTCATCCAAAAAACCACCTCCCAATTCCCTCAAAATCCAGCTTGTGATCCAGCAGAACAGCTTCACCAAAACAGATCCTGATTCCCTCAAAATCCACCAAAACAGCTCCTGACCCCTCAAAATCCAGCTTGTGATCCAGCAAAACTGCTCCTGATTCCTCAAAATCCAGCTTGTGATCCGGCAAAACTGCTCCTGATCCCTCAAAATCCACCAAAACTGCTCCTGATCCCCCAAAATCCACCAAAACTGCTCCAGATTCCTCCAAATCCACCTTTTCATCCACCAACACAGCTCCTGATCCCCCCAAATCCAGCTTGTGATCCAGCAAAACTGCTCCTGATCCCCCAAAATCCACCAAAACTGCTCCTGATCCCCCAAAATCCACCAAAACTGCTCCAGATTCCTCCAAATCCACCTTGTCATCCAGCAAAACTGCTCCACCAAAACTGCTCCTGATTCCCCCAAAATCCACCTTTTCATCCACCAAAACAGCTCCTGATCCCCCCAAATCCAGCTTGTGATCCAGCAAAACTGCTCCTGATCCCCAAAATCCTCCCTGTCATCCACCAGAACTGCTCCTGATTCCCTCAAAACCCACCAAAACAGCTCCTGATCCCCCCAAATCCACCCTGTCATCCAGCAAAACTGCTCCTGATCCCCTAAAATATCTCTCTCAGAACACCTTGTGATCCCCCAAAAGTGATGAATCAAAACAGCTCCACCAAAATAGCTCCTGATTGCCCAAAATCCAGCAAAACAGCTCCTGATCTCCTGAAACAGCTCCACCAAAAGACCTCACTGATCCCCCAAAACAGCTCCCTCAAAACATTTTGTAATCCCCAAAACAGCTCCAGCAAAAGAGCTTGTGGTCCCCAAAATCCAGTTTATAATCCCCTGAAACAGCTCCACTAAAACGTTATGATCCACCAAAAGTGATGCCCCAAAACAGCTCATGAGCCCTCAAAACAGCTCATGATCCCCCAAAACAGCTCCAAAGAAGGTCATGACCCCCCAAAGCTATCCAAAACAGCTCATGTTTTTCCCCAAAATCCAGCTCATGATCCCCCCAAAACAATTTGTGATCACGCAAGGCAGGGTCACCCGGAGCAGGTGACACGGGGACAGCTCCAGGTGGGGTTGGGATGTCTCCAGAGGGAGGTTCCAGCTGTTCCAGGGCTGCAGGGAATGAAGTTCCTCCTCAGGGTGAGGTGGAACTCGTTGTGTTTTAATTTATGGCCACTGCTCCTCGTCCTGTCCCCGAACAGAGCCTGGCACCATCCTCTGACACCCCTTGGGGACATTTTTTGGGAGCAGACAGATGCCAGTGCTGCACCAGCACAGGACACAGCACATCCCAGTCCTGGGACAGTGGAAGGTGTCCATGGCAGGGGATGATCTTCAAGGCCCCTTTCACCCCAAACCATTCCAGGATTCCATGAAAAAAGCAGAGTTTACTCGCAGCACCCACCCCTGGGAGCTGTCCCTGCCAGTTCTGAAATCCAATGTCCCAAGACACCAAACCCGTTCCTCCCACCCTGTTCCCACTTTCTCCAACTGTCTCCAGCCCAGTTTGGTGATTTATTCCCTAATTTCAGGGAAGCTGTGGATAAACAGATTGGATTAACAGTGCCAAGTGTCCAAGGAGCATCGTGGCCTCCCAGTCCCGGCCAGCTCCAAGACAGCAGGAGGCTCTTTGTGCTCTGGGAGTGACACAGGCACAGCAAAGCCAGGGAAGAGCCAGTTCCTGGGAGCAGCTGTCTGGAAAACTCCTGGATTTGGGTTTAAACCTGGAGCAGGGAATGCCATGAGGCTCCTGGACTTGAATTCAAACCTGAAGCAGGGAATGCCCCAAAGCTCCAGGATTTGAATTCAAACCTGGAGCAGAGAATGCCCCAAGGCTCCTGGATTCAAACCTGGAGCAGGGAATGCCATGAAGCTCCAGGATTTGAATTCAAACCTGGAGCAGGGAATGCCATGAAGCTCCAGGATTTGAATTCAAACCTGGAGCAGGGAATGCCATGAAGCTCCAGGATTTGAATTCAAACCTGGAGCAGGGAATGCCATGAAGCTCCAGGATTTGAATTCAAACCTGGAGCAGGGAATGCCATGAAGCTCCAGGATTTGAATTGAAACCTGGAGCAGGGAATGCTATGAAGGTCCAGGATTTGAATTCAAACCTGGAGCAGGGAATGCTATGAAGGTCCAGGATTTGAATTCAAACTTGGAGCAGGGAATGCCCCAAGGTTCCTGGATTTGAATTCAAAGCTGGAGCAGGGTGAACAGGAGACAACAATTCTGCTTCCCTGATTCTGCCAGGAATGAATTCCCAATTCCCAGGGATCTCCAGCTGCTCAGGAATGTCACTACCTGCACTCACTCAGCTGTGAAAGGCACGGGTTCCAGCCACATGGAATTCCACGCCTTTCAGCAGCTCTCTGGAGAGCTTTGGGAATTTGGTCTGGAAAATTCCTTGGGGTCCTGTCCCAATTTCCCTGTGAGGAGCAGGAAAATCCTGTCCAGCAACAACAGAACTCAGGATCATCACCACAAATCCAGAGTCAATCCTGGAGCAGCCTTGGGGAGGAAAATGAACTCTGGCTCAGCCCAGAGCAACACAGGCTGGTTTGGGGACACAGGACAAGGATTCCTTCCCATTGCCACATCCAGATGCCATTCCAAGCCTGGATATGGGAACTGGCCTCAAAAGTAAATGCAGCCACAGCTGAGGAGAGCAGGAGGCAGGAAGGAACCTTTGGAATGTCTTCCCAAGGAAACAGGGAATGAATTCCTTGTTTTGGTTTTCCTGTTGAACTTTATCCCAACCCATTCATTCCCTCACTTTTACCCTTCCCATTCTCTCTCCATGCCATAAGTGGGGAGGGATTCAATGAGGTGACCCTTTGGGGTTAAATCACAAAATTTTGGCTCAGCCCAGCCTAAGTTGGGAGTTTTACATAATTTAGGTTAGCTGAGCTTTGCCTACTGAGCCCAACTGGCTCCACACAGCCAAGGAGAGGCCTCCTGATGACATTTACATCCAAATTTTGGGCAGATCTACAGCCCAGAGTCAGGATTTGTGAGGATAAGGGAAGCAGATGGAACCATATCAAATCCAGCCATGAAAACCAGACTGCAGCACAAGTGCTGTGGGTGGAAATCCAGACCTCCTGAAATATTCTAAAGCTACAAAGAAAGGAAGACATTTCCAGAATTAAAAAATGAATTTTTTTTTTAAAAGCACCACCTTTGAGACAATCAAGATTGAGAAGAATCTAAACCCAGAGATGGGTGGTCCTTATGCTAAGACCTAAATAAAAACACCACAAGAACCACTTGAGATTCTTCTCAGTTTTTTTTATCCATTGGAAAACTGACCACAAGCAATTCCCAACCCCTTCCCTATCCCAGAATTCCCAGACATACCATAAGCTTCATAGGTTTCTGGTGCCTCCCCATGTCCATAATCATAATATTCTGTATCCCTGGAAAAACAACGAGGTGGTTACACACAGGGAAATCCCATTCCCGATGCTCGGTGTCATTCCCTGGATTCCAGCAGAACTCTACAGCTCAGGAATGTTTCTATTGGCTTCAAATGGGATTTAAAAAAAGGGAAAAAAAGGGGGAAAAGGGGGGAAAAGGGGGGAAAAGGGGG